ATTGTTGCTATGAAAATATATGACAGAAAGTGGTATGTATATATAAATATATAAGATTTTATTTACAAGCATGAATCACAAAAAGTTTTCAGTTGCAAGCAAGCAAGATGGATAATGCAGTACAAACAGTCGTGAAGAGGCATAAGGGATTTCACAATTTGGTAAGCATACTTGATTTTACCCTAACAAAAAAGTTTCTGTTTTGGCTAAATATTATACAGAGAAAATTTCAATTTTGGTCACATGACTATAGGGGCATTGTTAATTTCAACACCTGACTTTTAAAAGTGTCAATTTAGTACCTTGACTATGTAATTTTTGTCAATTTTGGTCACTCCGGCCAAATTGATGGTCAAATTTGGCCAAAAAAAATTAATCCAACATTTAGTCTATAAAGGATCAAAAGACAATTTTGCCCCTCAGATTATAGACTAAATGTTTGATTAATTTTTTCCAGTCAAATTTGACCGTCAATTCAACCGGAATGACCAAAATTGACAAATATTACATAGTCAAGGTACTAAATTGACACTTTTGAAAGTCAGGTGCTGAAATTAACAACACCCCTATAGTCATGTGATCAAAATTGAAATTTTCTCATATTATACAATTTTTGCAGGTTGGTGATTTTTATGTTTCGGGGTTTAGGGTTCATGGTTTAGGTTGGTGATTTTTAATTCCATTAGAATAAGTTACTGAGTAACATTTACCTGTGTTGCTCTGGATACCATAGCGAACTCTCATTTTTTAACCCAATATCCTATTACTTCAAAGACACACATCCTGTATATAATAAAAGAACGTTATATAATTGAATAAAATGCATAGTTGAATGAAAGGCATAATTAATAATGTAAATTGCACATGTGCAAGGCAATATAGTTTTTTTCGATTTTATATAGTAAATAGTAAATACAGAAACAGTACGTCGATTTTGATGAAAAGAAGAATGCTTTCCAGCCATCTATGTGATGTTTTGCTGTGGGTAGTCCTTACTAGACATTTCGTTCTAATCCTACTGGACATTGGTAACTTTATTCTGTTAAGTTCATGAACTTTTTTTGGGGTGCATGCATCATTGTTTGAAAAACATTCTTCTTTTCATCAAAATTGACAGATTAGAAGTTAAGTTGCAGTTTTTGAATCTCATACTTTAGATAAGTCATTTTACCCCATGATTAATCAAACGACTCTTCATTAAGAAGTTGTGAGAAAAACATTTGTGTTAAGAGGTAAAACAGTCTAAAAGAACTAAAAATTTATAAACACTTATATTTAAGAGCTAAAACGGACTAAAAGAAGATAACAAACACGAAAAGCTTCTAACTGACAATTTTGGATGTTATAGAAAGCTTTTGAAACTCAAACTTACTATTTACAGGTTCAATCTTATATTAAAACCAGGAATCTTATATTTATCTAATATTAAAATATAGAATGTTTCAAAAAAAAAGTCTGATGGAGTATGATAACAAACATAGATGCCACACAAAAGCACTTCTATATACTGAACAGTTAATAAAAAACAAAACCCTTCAATCAAATTTTTAAGCCTAAAAAATATTACACTTAAAAAAAGGAAAATAAACTTTGTTGTAGGTTTCTGACATTCCAAAGGAATTGGAGTCATTAATTGGAATGCCAATGATATTTAAGATATCACTGAAAATGAGCCAAATGAAGGGAGCCAATCCAGCATATACTGTGACTAGGATTTTAAGGTATGAGATATTAATATCTACTTACTGTTCCAAAATTAAGGACAAACAAGAAAAAGATTTAATCTCGAAAATGATTGATGAGGATGAAGAGGAGGAAGAGGAATCTGATCAGGTAATTTTATTTACTTCACTATTTTTTAGTCTTTATGTGAGATTTTAAATTTTAATCATTTTTTTCTATTTATAGGAAGCTTCAAATGGGGAAAATGAAGTGAACAGCCCTAATAGTGTCCAGCAGTCCCAAATGGCAGAGAGTGAAACTGCAGAAGCTTCTGTTGTGAAGAGATCCCTGTTGGACCAGTTTTCTTCTTCCAACAAGCTTAAGAAGGCCAAGGCTGTGACTGCTCACTAAATGGTTCCTAAGTTCCTAATATTTGATATATTTCAGCAGACAATTGTCCACCTTTGTGTGGTTGTTTTAATTTTTGGATGTTTTTTTGGGGAACCATCAATCATTATAATAAAGCAGCGTCAAGAGTTAGTAATCCAAAGGGTTTAAAATACTTATCTGTGATGAAAATGTAAAATCTAAAAATACGACTACAAATGTCGTATATAAAGAAGTTTTCAATAATGTCTAATAAATTGGAAATTTGTCTCTACCCTATTTGTTTTTTATATAATACTATATATTCTATTATTTATATATATGGCCGTGCATCGCACGGGTGCAACTACTAGCTAGTAATAATAATAATAATAATAAGCTAAAGTTTCAACATAATTGTTTAGCAGGAAACAAGACTAAGGAAGGGATTGACGTGAAAGTTGGGATAGGGGAAGAGAAAGGGTTTTAATTCATAAGGTTAAAACATGTCATTACTTTAAAATAATAAGGGTAAAGATGGAAAAAAAGTTAGGAAGCTAGGAGCTTATTTTGAAACGCTACCTAAAGTAGCGTTCCAAAATAAGCTCTTATTTTAAGCTAGGAGCTTGTTTTGGGAACATTACCAAACAGAACTTATAGCTTATTAGTAGCTTAAAATAAGCTATAAGCTCCTAGCTTAGCGTTGCCAAACAGAGCCTTAGTAGTTACAACAAAAAATAATACAAATGCATTTCGATCTTTAATTTAGAATTATGTATCTACAATGTTTTTATTCAAAAAAATTATTCATTATCAATAAATTAAATAAGAGAAATAATTTCATTAGTTGTATTGTCTTTATTTTTCTCCAATATAAAAATTCTTTACATTCAAATTCATCAATTGATTATACTCGCTACATTGTCCCTACAATGTCTTTATCAAAAAAAAAAAAATTATTCATTATCAATAAATTAATTAAGAGAAATAATTTTATTATATTATATTGTCTTTATTTTTCTCCAATGTAAAAATTCTTTACATTCAAATTCATCAATTGATTATATTCAATACGTTGTCCATTATCTTTTTTTGTGCACTATTTTATTTTAATTAAATATCAAAGTAGTTATAATACAAAATAATGTTATATATTTATTTACCAAGTATTTTATTAATATCATGAAAAAATTAAGAAAATTATAATTAATAAAGCCAATCATATTAACTACTTGAGGAATTTGTTGACAAAGAGAGTATTTAAATCACACAACAAATTGAAGTGAGAACTATCTCGTAATGTCCTTGTTTGACAATCAGTAGTTTGCGGTTAGCGTTAGCGGATTATATTAGCTGATTTGACCAGCGAATTATATCAACGGTTGGTAAAAAGATATTTGAAAAGATTAGCTTTTTATATTAACATGTAAAATGACATAATAATAATAATAATAATAATAATAATAATAATAATAATAATAATAATAATAATAATAATAATAATTGTTTTAAAAAAATAAAAAAATAAAAAAATATAATTAAGCCAATCATATTAACTACTTGGGGGATTTATTTACAAAAAGAGTATTCAAATTACACAACAAATTCAAGTGGAAAACTACCTCGCAATGTCCTTGTTTAACAATCAACAATTAGCTCTTCAATATTAGTATATATTTAAAATTTTATGCCCTAATTTTTATTTGATCTCCCTTATGTCCTGTATTTGGTTTCAACCATACCTATACAATTATTTTATTGACAATTATAATTAATCTGGACTATATTATCTTGCATTTGTAAACTTAGAATTACCTATTTAAATACGCAAATTCAACATTCAATTATTTATGCATGAACAATTCTAATATAATCCTACCTTGATATACTTTAAAGTACTTATTAAAAACACATTGAGCATTATCTCAATCGCGCAATGCGCGTAAAAAACTAGTACATATATACATACATATATACATATATATATATATATATATATATATATATATATATATATATATATATATATATATATATATATAGGATCGCATTCAAATGAGAACCACTTGTCCAAGAGAGAAATCAGAATGCATATCATCCGTTCATGTGTCCAGATCAAACGCATCATAAACACTTATTTTTATAATAAAAAAATGTGGTGGTATTTTTGTAAATAATTGAACATCGAAGTGCAAGTAACAGTTTTATACAGTGCACTTAAGTGCATGCAAAATGTATTACAAGTGCAAGTAAATAAAATGTATTACATGTGCAAGTAAAATTATCAATACTAAGTGCACTACCTAACGTTATAACTAGTTGCACCTAACGTTATAATTAGGTGCACCTAGGTATACGAATGTTAACAAGGTAAATTACTTGCACATGTAAGTGAAAATATGTGCATTTGTAAATGATTTTACTTGCACTTTTTACTTGTAAATGTGCACCAGCTAATTGCACTTATAACACATTTATTTGTATGAAAGTTTGAGTTATTTACGAAATGCCACAACGTCGTTTTTAAAAAAAATTACATTTGATTCGTTGATCTGGACATGTGGACAACTGTAAATGGTTCTTATTTCTCTCCTGGGCACTTGTTGTCTTTAGAGTGTGCCTCTGTGTGTGTGTGTGTGGCCACACATCACACACATATGTATTACTTTGTATATAATATATATAATTTTAAAAACATTCATGTCGTTATATGTTAGGCTTATGAAATGCATAATTAAATAATATGTTTAATTGTAAAATATTGAATGCCACTTTAAGTTGAAGATAATATATATGCGTTATTTATTTAAATATTTTTTAATTTTTAATTTATTTATTATAACTTATAAACGGGGTGGTGCTTCCCCATCCCTGGCAGGCCCGGTCCTATCATTCTTTAGGCCCGGGGCATAACACCAAAAATGGGCCCTATACGAAATTAATATATATTTTTATAATTAAAATTTAAATTAAATAAGGAAGCAATACTAATATCAAATAACTTACACGTTTTTAACAATTTTACATACATATGAAAACAATTATAGATGCATTCCTAAATCAGTAAATCCACAATAATCAATCACTGCATCAGTATTTTCATAAATAAATAATCTAAAAACATAATAAGTGTGAATGAAAGTTATACCCCTGATTTATGTCCGTTTTTTCCGTTAAGTTTTTTTGTACATTATACTATAAAGGTTGTACATTAAAATATTTTGGACAAACATACCCCTACCGTTATAACTTTCGTTATCTTTTTCACTATTGTTACCATGCACATGCATCGTCCACCATATATTTTCTTATCTTTTTCATTAATAATAATATATACACATTAAATATTTGAGTTATATGTTAATTATTACATAAATATAAATATCAAATTTATAAAAATGATTTACATTATTATTATTATTATTTAGAATAATTTAAATATCTAAAATTTAAATAAATTTAAAATTTTAATATAATGTATTAATATTGGGTACCTATTTTTTGCACATCGCGCGTAAAAAATACTAGTATAGTTTATAAAAATGAATAAATAATTTAAAACCAAATGAGCTTATAGACAATCACATTATTATTATAATAAATAATAACGTAATTATTAGTAAAAATTTATATAAAAAAAAACTTACGAGCATAGCATAAAATCTTAATTATTGGGAACAATAAATCAAAATACTCAAACGTGATAAAAGATATTCATAATAAAATATGAAACACAATTAATTAGATAAAATAGTTCGAATAAAAAATATGTAATAAATCACACATCTTATATATTCATATCATATTTATAAATACTCTTTTTTAGTTAGATCACTTTCAAGTTTTTCTAGATTAATTTGAATACGATGACGCACAAAAATTAAATTATCTTTTAAAATATTTTTCATAACTAAATCACGAAATATATTACATATACATAACTCATATAAAGTTCACAAAACAACAACTATTCTAAATATAAGTAGTAAATTACTCGAATAGAAATAGATTCAAAATTTGATATGTATTACAAATCAATCTATATTATAAATCTCACTATAATTATAGAAAGGTAACAAAATCACAAAGTTACAAATTAAATTTAGAAAAATACAAATTAGAAATAGAAATAAATAAATTGTAGAAAAATATTATATAAAGGGATTTGATCCCTTGACGAGTATAAAAATTACAAATCCTACCAACTCAACCAACTCAAATCTTAGTGTAATAAAATTCTTAAATTCATATAATAAATAGTAGAGGAGGAAAGTTTTATCTAAAAGTAGATATGGGGATTCAATCCCTAGACCATGCAAGTTAAAGCATTTAGCCTTACCAACTCAACCAACTCAAAAATTAATATTTTATATGTGTACTAAATTATTATATCGCATTTCTACAGTATATATAAGAGTAATGGTATAGTGTAGGGGCCCCTTCCAAGCATGGGGCCCTGGGCAAGGGTCGAGCCTGCCCTTGCCCAGGGCCGGGCCTGATCCCTGGATAATCCCCATGGGGATGGGGTGGGGGGATTTTCCCTTCCCCAGAGAAGATGGGGATAGCGACGGAGAACGGGGAAGAAAGTTCGGGGCAGAGATGGGGGTATGTCCCCCGCCCCCACTTCGCCCTGTTTACATCTCTAAAGGTTATGTAATCATTGACATATATTGGACACAAGTTAGTACAATGGTTGTTCCATCTCAATACACGGGTCTGGACATTGATCCTCAAGACCATCAAACTCACCGTACATGGCATGCAGGCTCGTTAGTGTGAATTTGATGCCACCATCGCCACTGTCTAGCTTCAGGCGAGTTTGCGATGAGGATTGCGAACGTTTGGTGGATTCAGCATACATATGTTTGGTATGTCACATTATGTTGTAATACGAAATATTCCTGCACATATACGTAATGAATGTTAATTTTAATTGACATGATGACATACCCTCTTACTAAATATAACAAACTAGTATTCCATCCGTGTGATGCGGTATAAAAATTAAATACCTTTATAGTTGATATGGTTTTTTAAAAAATTAAATGACAGAAAAAAGTATTAATTCTCAAAATTCAATTCATTGCTAAATATATATTTTCTTCTGCAATATTGAATTGTTTGTTTATATTTTCTTCATTGTGTTATATATTAAATACCACATGAGATTTGAAAAATAATTTCAATGTACGTACAATGTAAACATACTTATGCAAATTACACATACAAAGGGGCAGATCGAGCATGGGTGGCACGACATAGGAAACGGCTGTGCACTTGGCCGTGTCATTTGATCTTCAAAAATTCAGATTTTAGATTTATGGTCTTTAAGAAAGTTGTAGCCCATCGAGTTTTCTTTCCGATGGAGCAAGAATCACTTTATTTGGGCATTTCTAGGCTGAGATATGGTCAAAATACCGATCAGTGGTCAGTTTTGGACGAAATCTGTGTGTTTGGAACTTAAACTTCAAAGACGATTTTGATCCCTGTGACTTCCTTTTTAGACTTTGAGGTCAATTTATGCGAGAATTTCCTATTTTTGACACTTTTTCCACTTTTGCTTTGTTTTGTCCATATGATCAAAACCATTGAAAATACCACTCTTTGGCTCCTTTGGAAGTATTTTATCCATCCTCTTAGCTTCTCCTTTGCTCCTATTGACTCCTAATGCATAAAAAATGCCCCATTTTCTTCCAAAGCTTTCCGAACCAAACTCTTTAATTGCAAAATAACACAATTTAGTCCTAATCTCATTAAATTTGTAATGATCCATAAGCAAAATGACTTGATGTGAAAAGGGGGGAAAATATAGTGATAACGTGAAAGGGAATCTTGTCCCCTTGTACCTTGATGTGAAGGATGTTACCTTTTGCTGCAAGGATTCCCTCCAAAGCTACTTTTGCTCATCACATGAAGGGAATCAAATAAGAACTTAGTATAAATAATTCGGCCAAAAAAAAAATCAATTCCATACAATATATACTTTAACCTTAATACCCAACTATATTATGATGATCTCAATATTTCTAATCAGGTGATAACCAACCTTAACTTGCGAACTTGTGAAGGATTGCACCATAAGTACATGTTATATATGCTAATGCTATATATACATGCTATATATGTTTGATCATAAAAAAAGCTACATTTATGCAATCTAGGAGAAAATACACACATTAATTATACTGTATGATGTTATGTCGTGCATTCTTACATATTTAAATTCTAGGGCTATATCATACATGTTGGGCATCTGATATGTATACTGAATGATATACAAATATGCAATGCAAGGAGAGATAACATACAATCATTTGGACTATCCATATAATATGTGACAACATGATTGATAATAAAGATGCACCTTTAAAATTTGACGCATCAATTACCAAATATAAAACGGGGTTTAGTATTGGTTATCATTGACTATAATAAGTATAATCCCATTGTTAATTCAATTGTACTGATTTTCATCTACTACCTCAGCTCATTCGCATACAACCTTGCTAGTTGTACTCTTTCTTTCAACTTTAATTTCAACATGGTAACGCCCCTTCAAGCAAAGCTGACCAAAGGTTTCCAATGCTTTCTAAACGGGATAACTCTCGTTATCTCATTGGTCCCCTATATACGCAAAACCAGTTATGGAGTGAAATTAATGCTTCTTTTTATCAATATGCTTATAGCCGTTTTTATTGCGTTCATTTCAGTGAATGTCGTAGAAGTGTCCCTTCTCTTCCAAAGGTGTCATATACCCATTTCGGAAATATTGGGCATAGTTAATGAGATTATAGCATTGTGCTGTGGAATGCTTTTGTTGAAATTTAGTGCAATATACCGCATATTTCATTTTTATTGTCTCAATTATTTTTTAGTCTGGTCTTTAGTATGTTATGATCTTCCTTTTATTTAGAATTATAGCTATTATTTAGGAGGAATAATTTAATTATTATGACTTATTCTAGTTCGATTTTTGAGGTCTTTTCGATTTATTTAACAGATTGATAGTACATGTCATATCGTACATTCATGCAATGCAGCATGGGGGAAATACACACATTAATTATAGTGTATGATGTTATGTCGTGGATTCATACATATTTAAATTTTAGGGCCATATCATATATATTAGTACGTAACTACGTATACGGAATGATATACAAATATGCAATGCAAGCTAAGGTGAGATAACATACAGTCATTAGGACTATCTATATAATCCGTAACAACACGATCGATAATAAAGATGCATCATTACAATTTGACACATCAGTTACCAATTATGAAACGGGGTTTAGTATAGGTTATCATTGACCATAATAAGTATATAATTCGATGGTTAATTAAATAATATTGTACTATTTATCATTTTAGGTCAACTAATGGTAATATAAACATAAGACATGAGAAACCTACTCTTAACACATATATGCATACATAATACATAGGGCACAAACAAATTAATGCTAAGGGTAGTACCGAGTACGTGATATCAGAACAAAATTCTTTATGTGTGCAGTGCCGTTTTAGTTTCTATAAATAGGTAGGGTTTAGAGGGATGCATGGCAGTAATCGATGCTCAGCTTTCTGCATATTCCTTCATTTCTTTCTCTCATCTGTTTCCTCATTTCTTCCTCTCATTTGCTTCCTCAGCTCCCTCGCATACAACTTAACCTTCCTAACTGTACTCTTTCTTTCAACTTTCAACATAGTAACACCCCTTCAAACAAAGCCTGCCAAAGGTTTCCAATGCTTTCTAAATAGGATAACTCTGGTATCAGAGCCCTTGTTTCGTGGTATCAGAGCTTACGCTTGACTTTGTCACTCAGTAAAAAATGAATAGCAATTGTATTTCTATTGATAATCATGCTAGTGAGAACTATAGTTATTGGAGGCAATGCATGGAAGCTTATCTACAAGGGCAGGATTTGAGGTAGCTCGTCTCTGGTGAGGAGGTAATTCTAGTAAATACGTCACAAAATGCTGAGTTACGACAGGTATAGAAGATTAAGTGTGGCAAAGCTTTGTTTCCTTTGCGAAGGTCTGTCGGTAACGATTTCATCGACCATGTTCGTGGTAAACGGTCTCCCAAAGAAGTGTGGGAGACATTTGAGAAGTTGTTCGCCCGTATGAACACGATGAGGCTCCAATACTTGGAGAACAAACTTGCTGGGATGGTCCAAAGCAATCTATCG